AAATGTTGAAAAATACATTTTTCACATCTTCCCTGCCTTTGTTGCCTCTGTTTATTTTTGGGAGGGACAAGGAAGACCCCCGGTTGAAGATATTCATTTCCCAGAAGTTCCTTCTGACGAAGGATGCCTCCCAGCCCATTTCACGGATCTTCTTTCTACACATGATTATAATGAATTTCTCAACTCCAATGGTGATATTTACAACACGAGCAGGGCAATTGAAGGTCCTTACGTTGACTTTATGCAGCGTCTCAATGCCGGCAAGAAGGTTTGGGCATTGGGGCCACTCAACCTTTTAGCCATTGAGAAGAATGATTCGACAGAATTTAGGCACCCATGCATGGAGTGGCTTGATAAGCAAGAGCCAAATTCAGTGATATATGTGTGTTTTGGGACCACAACAACTTTCACGGAGGAACAAAACCATCACATTGCAACTGGGTTGGAGCAAAGCAAACAGAAGTTCATCTGGGTGTTGAGAGATGCTGATAAAGGGAACATCTTTGATGGAAGTGAAGCAAAAGAGCATGAGCTTCCAAATGGGTTTGAGGAGAGAGTTAAAGGCATGGGGCTGGTTGTGAGGGATTGGGCACCCCAATCAGAAATTCTGAGCCACCCTTCAATGGGGGGTTTTTTGAGTCATTGTGGATGGAACTCCTGCTTGGAGAGCTTATCCATGGGGGTGCCAATAGCAGCGTGGCCCATCCACTCTGACCAACCAAAAAATGCAGCTTTGGTCACAGAAGTTCTGAAGGCTGGTTTGGTTGTGAGGGATTGGTCACAGAGGAATGAGTTGGTGACTGCATCAGATGTTGAGAATTGTGTGAGAAGGTTGATGCAAACAAAGGAAGGTGAGGAGATGCGAGAGAGAGCTCTGAGGCTTAAAAATGACATCAATAGGTCCACGAATGAAGGTGGAATTTCTCGCATGGAAATGGAATCTTTCATTTCTCACATCACTCAATAGTCATACCATTAGTTTGGTTCTTATAGCAGAATATGGCAGAAGCTAGTTCTCATCATGTGGTTAATGCAAAATACTTTCCTATGACATTATTCAGTAATAAAGCTTCTGTTGAATATGTCCCTTCTAATTGCACATATGATGTCGACTGTAACAAATATTGGACGTTTTATATGACAGTAACTGTTATTTTTTTTTTCTTTTAAATCAACCCATAAAATGTCACATTGATCAGAACTTCGACATATAATTGTGGTTTAAAAGTAAAAAAGGATAAAAAAATTAAAAAGGAAGTAACTTGACTTCTGGGTGACAAATATTACATCGATTCTCAATCGAATTCGACGTACTATTAGTGTTTTAAAAGAAAAAATAATTAAAAAGAACTAATATGGTAGAAAAGATGAAGCACAAAAAAAGTGAAAAGTAGATAGTCACTAGTACAAAAATATTGTATAACGTCGTTGTTTTGTGGCCTTTCATGTCGAATTCGAGGTTGACGTCATATCGGCAGACATTAAATTGACGTCGAAGATGTTAACCAAATTGACATCGAATTTTGTTAATATTCGACGTAAAGCAATGTTTTTGTTTTTTTTTAAGGCTTAATACCTCTTTTGGTCCCTCTTTAGGGGGGCAATGTTCAAGTCCGTCCTACCTTTTTTAAAAAGTTCAATGTGGTCCCAACTTGTGAAAAAAGTGTGCAATTAAATCCTTTTTGATTACGGTGTTAATTTTTTAACGGTCCAAGTGCCCTTCTGGACAAAACATAATGAGGTGTCCACTTTTTGTGATTGCGTGGCACTGGAAAGTTAAATGACATGTTCAGCGAGAGAGAGGAATCTGTGCGAGAAAAGGGAGACTGCGAAGCTAACGAGCTCTTCGGCGAAGTGAAGAACGCGTTCGGCAGCTGTTGTGGAGAGACGATGGAGCTCGTCCCGAGTGGTGATGTGCTGTGTGTCATCTCCGACGATGGCAGTGGAATGGATAGCGGCCCAAATCTTGCAATTTGGGATTAGGGTTTTCGAATTTGGGTTTTTGTTTGATCTGAGTTTGGGTTCCTTTGAGAGTTAGAATCCCGGCTGTAGAGCTGCGATGGTTGGGGCAGGTGGCTACGGTGTCGTAGGCCCTAGCGGCTTCCTCTACTCTGATGGGTCAAGGCTTGAGCGTGGGAATTGATGATTTGGGAAATCATTGTCTTTGCAAGGTTGAGATAAAGCCATCGCTATTCTCAAAGAGAAAAGGGTCCAAGAATTTGGAGGTCCAATATGGTAAAATTGATATCTTTTGGGATTTGAGTTGTGCCAAGTTTGGTTTCGGGCCTGAGCCGCTAGAGGGGTTCTACTTAGCGGTGGTGTTCAACAAGGAGCTGATGTTGCTGGTTGGGGATCTAAAAAAGGAGGCATGCAAGAAGATGGACAGTGATTGTGCTTTTTCCCACAATGGTACCATTTTCATCGCAGCGGAGAGCCGCATGGCCACCAGCAGGCTTGATTCGGAGGCCGCTATGGAGAGCAAGAGATTTTCCATGGCGGAGTTATCATAAAGCTTTGATCCATGGCAGAGTTATCATAAAGCTAATGTGTGGCAAGTAAATTGTTCTTTTAAAGTTCAAAATTAACATATTATATTCCACGTATGAGAAAAATAGGACAGCTTATTAAGTGTTGGCCAACTAGGCAGCTCTACCGTTAAAATTTTGATGCCGTAACCAAAAAGGATTAATTTAATCCGATTTTTCACAAGTTGGGACTACATTGAACTTTTTAAAAAAGGTAGGACGGACTTGAACATTGCCCCCCTAAAGAGGGACCAAAAGAGGTATTAAGCCTTTTTTTAATTAAGTGTAATACTTTTTTACAACTCTTTGAGACCCGAAAAGTAGAAAAACAAAAAAATTTAGCTTTTGGTATTTTATAAATCATGAACTATGAACGTGCAGTATAGTATCAACAACAAACAACAAACAAGTTCAATCAAACAACAACAACAAAAAGTTCAACCAAATAACAACAAATAACAAGTTCAACAAAAAATAACAACAAACAAGTTCAACAAATAAGTTCTTCAAAACGAAAGCGAAAACTAACCTTCAAAAGGTGGGTTCGTCGGAATAAAGTGTTTTCACTAGTGGGAGAGAAAGCAGAATGTGTATATGAAAGACAAGAACACGAAAATAATCGGTCAAAACAAACGAAAATTATACATAAAGTAGTTAATTAACATGCATTTGTATCAAATGAAAGATGACATGTGATGGTCGTCAAACTTCGTTCGAGAAAAGTTTGAGAAAAGAATAGGGTCTTGCGCGCTAAGATAAAGTGAATGAATTTTCAATCTCCCGCTCAAATTAAAAAGGAGAAACTTTTGGCTGACAAATAATACGTCGAAGCTCCTACAAAATTCGACGTATTATATGTGGTTTAAAAGAAAAAAGAAAAAAAGAATTAAAAAGGAGGTATTTTTTGGCTTCTAGCTGACAAATAATACGTCGAAGCCCTTACAGAATTCAACGTATTATTTATTGTTTAAAAGAAAAAGACTAAAAATGGTGATTCTTTGGCTTCTAACGTACTATTGATGGTCTAAAAGAAAGAAGAAAGAAAATGACGCAGTGATTTAAATAATTACCATCAAGAACGTAGAATTGAATTGGGTTTCGATGTTCTACAATTGCATTTATTTACAAAAATGTCACCGATCATTTTTAACGTTGTTGGTTATTCAACGGTTGAACGTTAAACGCGTGATGTTATACGCTGTTTTTGTACTAATCACTATAAATAAATTTTGTAGAAAAGTGTAAAGAGTAGGTCAATAGATTCATTTTAGTATATTGATGGTATTATAAATTCATTCTACTATATTGTCTTATCAATATAAATAAGAACTTTAACATTGTTTTGTTTGATAATATCATCAACTTATATCATCTGATTATTGAGATTAATTGAACTTATATAATTTGATTAGTGGTGATTCTTTGAATGAAGCCCTTGTCTCGTGATTTTAACTTATACCATCTTATCTTGTATCATTTATTTAATGAACATTGAATCTACAGGACATTATTTNTTTTTTTTTTCTTTTAAATCAACCCATAAAATGTCACATTGATCAGAACTTCGACATATAATTGTGGTTTAAAAGTAAAAAAGGATAAAAAAATTAAAAAGGAAGTAACTTGACTTCTGGGTGACAAATATTACATCGATTCTCAATCGAATTCGACGTACTATTAGTGTTTTAAAAGAAAAAATAATTAAAAAGAACTAATATGGTAGAAAAGATGAAGCACAAAAAAAGTGAAAAGTAGATAGTCACTAGTACAAAAATATTGTATAACGTCGTTGTTTTGTGGCCTTTCATGTCGAATTCGAGGTTGACGTCATATCGGCAGACATTAAATTGACGTCGAAGATGTTAACCAAATTGACATCGAATTTTGTTAATATTCGACGTAAAGCAATGTTTTTGTTTTTTTTTAAGGCTTAATACCTCTTTTGGTCCCTCTTTAGGGGGGCAATGTTCAAGTCCGTCCTACCTTTTTTAAAAAGTTCAATGTGGTCCCAACTTGTGAAAAAAGTGTGCAATTAAATCCTTTTTGATTACGGTGTTAATTTTTTAACGGTCCAAGTGCCCTTCTGGACAAAACATAATGAGGTGTCCACTTTTTGTGATTGCGTGGCACTGGAAAGTTAAATGACATGTTCAGCGAGAGAGAGGAATCTGTGCGAGAAAAGGGAGACTGCGAAGCTAACGAGCTCTTCGGCGAAGTGAAGAACGCGTTCGGCAGCTGTTGTGGAGAGACGATGGAGCTCGTCCCGAGTGGTGATGTGCTGTGTGTCATCTCCGACGATGGCAGTGGAATGGATAGCGGCCCAAATCTTGCAATTTGGGATTAGGGTTTTCGAATTTGGGTTTTTGTTTGATCTGAGTTTGGGTTCCTTTGAGAGTTAGAATCCCGGCTGTAGAGCTGCGATGGTTGGGGCAGGTTGCTAAGGTGTCGTAGGCCCTAGCGGCTTCCTCTACTCTGATGGGTCAAGGCTTGAGCGTGGGAATTGATGATTTGGGAAATCATTGTCTTTGCAAGGTTGAGATAAAGCCATCGCTATTCTCAAAGAGAAAAGGGTCCAAGAATTTGGAGGTCCAATATGGTAAAATTGATATCTTTTGGGATTTGAGTTGTGCCAAGTTTGGTTTCGGGCCTGAGCCGCTAGAGGGGTTCTACTTAGCGGTGGTGTTCAACAAGGAGCTGATGTTGCTGGTTGGGGATCTAAAAAAGGAGGCATGCAAGAAGATGGACAGTGATTGTGCTTTTTCCCACAATGGTACCATTTTCATCGCAGCGGAGAGCCGCATGGCCACCAGCAGGCTTGATTCGGAGGCCGCTATGGAGAGCAAGAGATTTTCCATGGCGGAGTTATCATAAAGCTTTGATCCATGGCAGAGTTATCATAAAGCTAATGTGTGGCAAGTAAATTGTTCTTTTAAAGTTCAAAATTAACATATTATATTCCACGTATGAGAAAAATAGGACAGCTTATTAAGTGTTGGCCAACTAGGCAGCTCTACCGTTAAAATTTTGATGCCGTAACCAAAAAGGATTAATTTAATCCGATTTTTCACAAGTTGGGACTACATTGAACTTTTTAAAAAAGGTAGGACGGACTTGAACATTGCCCCCCTAAAGAGGGACCAAAAGAGGTATTAAGCCTTTTTTTAATTAAGTGTAATACTTTTTTACAACTCTTTGAGACCCGAAAAGTAGAAAAACAAAAAAATTTAGCTTTTGGTATTTTATAAATCATGAACTATGAACGTGCAGTATAGTATCAACAACAAACAACAAACAAGTTCAATCAAACAACAACAACAAAAAGTTCAACCAAATAACAACAAATAACAAGTTCAACAAAAAATAACAACAAACAAGTTCAACAAATAAGTTCTTCAAAACGAAAGCGAAAACTAACCTTCAAAAGGTGGGTTCGTCGGAATAAAGTGTTTTCACTAGTGGGAGAGAAAGCAGAATGTGTATATGAAAGACAAGAACACGAAAATAATCGGTCAAAACAAACGAAAATTATACATAAAGTAGTTAATTAACATGCATTTGTATCAAATGAAAGATGACATGTGATGGTCGTCAAACTTCGTTCGAGAAAAGTTTGAGAAAAGAATAGGGTCTTGCGCGCTAAGATAAAGTGAATGAATTTTCAATCTCCCGCTCAAATTAAAAAGGAGAAACTTTTGGCTGACAAATAATACGTCGAAGCTCCTACAAAATTCGACGTATTATATGTGGTTTAAAAGAAAAAAGAAAAAAAGAATTAAAAAGGAGGTATTTTTTGGCTTCTAGCTGACAAATAATACGTCGAAGCCCTTACAGAATTCAACGTATTATTTATTGTTTAAAAGAAAAAGACTAAAAATGGTGATTCTTTGGCTTCTAACGTACTATTGATGGTCTAAAAGAAAGAAGAAAGAAAATGACGCAGTGATTTAAATAATTACCATCAAGAACGTAGAATTGAATTGGGTTTCGATGTTCTACAATTGCATTTATTTACAAAAATGTCACCGATCATTTTTAACGTTGTTGGTTATTCAACGGTTGAACGTTAAACGCGTGATGTTATACGCTGTTTTTGTACTAATCACTATAAATAAATTTTGTAGAAAAGTGTAAAGAGTAGGTCAATAGATTCATTTTAGTATATTGATGGTATTATAAATTCATTCTACTATATTGTCTTATCAATATAAATAAGAACTTTAACATTGTTTTGTTTGATAATATCATCAACTTATATCATCTGATTATTGAGATTAATTGAACTTATATAATTTGATTAGTGGTGATTCTTTGAATGAAGCCCTTGTCTCGTGATTTTAACTTATACCATCTTATCTTGTATCATTTATTTAATGAACATTGAATCTACAGGACATTATTTATTATTTTTATATTCTTTATTATTTATTTATTTTTATTTTATATTTTTATTATTCATTATTATTTATATTTATTATAATTTATTACTACTTATGACTAATCATTTTATTGGCATTAATTATATTTATTTTATTGTTTATTTTTTATTATTATTCATATTTATTTTGATTTATTATTATTTATAGTTATATTTTTATATTTATTATTATTTATTATAAATTATTTTATATAATTTATTATTTAAAATTAAATATATTTTTAGTTTTTAAATTTTGACGTAAACTTGTCTTTAAAACTTTGTCTGATCTCTAAAATTAAAAATTAAATTAATTTATTTTTTTAACTCAATTATATTAACGTGAATATATCTACTCATATTTTCAAAATTTGAGAACCAATTTCATATCAGAATTCAGCCATATTTAACCATATTATTTATTATCATTTATATTTATTATTAATTATTATTCATTATAATTTATTATGAATCATTTTATTATATATATATATATATATTATTTATTATTATTTATATTTGTTATTATCGGTTACTATTGATTATGATATATTTTCATTTTATGAACTATTTAACTATTATTTATTAATTACAACATTTTCACACTCAAATAAAACTATTAATAAAACACATATAAATTGATTCATTACAAACAATAATTTAAGCAAACACGTTCAAACTTTTTGAAAGCATAGCATGTTATGGAAACTCAAGAGGTTTCTCACCTTCATGACTCTTGAGGACAATTATTAGTTGAACGGTCAACTGTGAAAACGTTTGTCAAGCGGTCAAATGTGACAATGTACCTTTGAGATTGAGAAAATTTTCGTTTCTTTGAAAACATTAACTGAGCGTTCAGATAAAAATACTCGTGACTACTCGATTATACGGTACAAATGATTTAATAATAATAATAATAATATAATTAAATAATTTAATAATTACATGATTAATAAACTAAATAAAAGAATATTGTAAATAATAGTTTATTTAAACATTTGACAACAGGAAAAAATTATGAACTTTTCAATGGAAATTTTGAATAGAGATAACGACATGAATATTAAATTAGATTTCCAATTCAAATATAAATATTACTTCTAAAAATACTACTAATGTTTCAAAAAACATTGAGGTAATTGTATTATCAAATAGTGTAAACCTTTAAAAATAAGTAATGATTTCTTAAATATAACCATTGCGTAGATATATTGACATCATCATTTAATTTTATCAACATTTAATTTGAAAATTTTAGTTTCAAATTGTAGATATAAATGGAAAAAATAATGAGTAATTGATTATTAATTTTTTATTTAATAATATTTGAAACTAAAAATTGAAAAATTGATTAATGTATTTTTTATTCAATTTATAAAATTTGAAATTATAATTAAGTAAAAAGGATTGAATCTTTTTATTGTTCATAACATTAAAATAATCTCAATACAAAAACAAAATTATTAGTTAAATTAAAAATAATTTGCTACAATTACTATTATAATATGCAACATTGTACCATATAGAATAAAATATAACATATCAAAGTAATATATTTAAAAGTAATTATTAATAATTTGAAATTCATTATTATAAAAAGGCATTACAAATTTTTGTCTAGTGCATTTGCAACTAATCGAAAGAGAAGGTCTTTTTATTAGTTGTGGATAATTTTAAAAGACATTAAAACCTTTACATTTTACAAAACTTTTATATCCTTTATTAAGTAATGACTGCTTTTGTTAATGTTTTTTTCTAATGTGACAGATGGTTATTTGTTTCCTTTCATGTGTATTTATGATTTTTTTTTT